CTTCAACTCCCATGCTGGCTGGGGAGTTTGGGGAGTTGAAGTCCACCCATCTTCAAGTGGCCAAGGTTGAGAAACACTGGGCTGATCATAACTCCCCAAAAGATGCATTAACAGTATATATTTGTTAGCAATGCTAACAAATAACCATTTTTAAAATTGTTTTTTCTTACCGCTACCATGAGGAATCTGGAATTCCACAAACTTCCCCTTTAGCCACACAATGTGTAGTTTTTTCTCAGTGTAGGGAGCATCCTTTATTAGCAAGCACCATCCAGGGTATGGAAATATGAAAAGTTAAAACTATCTATCACACCTTACATTTCAAGCTTGTGATCTGGACAATTCTAGGATAGCTTCTGGAAGTGTTCAAAACATTGGATGTAAACACAGGTTATTCCACCCGTGATTTAGCTAATCACCATGCGATATGACTTGGGCACTATTTTTAAAAATTATCAGGCATGGCCCAGTCTTTTGCAAACTTGAAGCCGCGTCATTTGAGGCAGGCAGCGTTAATCTGAAACAGACAATATTGGGGGGGATAGAGGACCGAGCCCCCAGCCACAAATATCAAATCAGGAGGACATACACAGCCCTCTTTCAGAATAATACTCTGGTTATTTAATGAAAAGACTCAAGAATCCATTAATATTCATACCACTCTGTTTCAGGATCTTTAAGATACTTTGGTTCCATTGCTTTAAAAATGTAAGAAAACACACATCGTATAGCCAATTACAATTTTAGGGCAAATATTTTATTTATCTATAAACGCAAAATAAAATCAGTTCTTCTTAAAAAATGACAAAAAGGTACTTAAATAAGAATGACCAAAAATTTGTGTGAGATGTTATGGCACCAAAAATCCAAGACCATTATAAATTCAGTTGCCACAACCATTAAGTATTCTGCTGCAGGTTCTTTTTTTTTGTTGTTTTTAACCTTTTCTATAAAGATTTTTTTTATTAAAGATATGTACAGATCATTAGGCTGTGTAAATATTTACAGCAACTCTGACAACAGCTGTGTTCGTTGAAAATCACTTTTAAGAGAAAAATGCTTTAAATACAAAAAAGAAAGTGGAAAAACTTCATTACCCTCCCGCGACCCACCCCTCCGCAAGCATAGAAACTTGCGCCCCAAATTTCTATCCGTTCTTAGGCTGCTCGGAGATTCCGCTCGACGCTCAAAAGCTGTTCTGCATGCATTGGCGACAGTTCTGTGGTTTACACAATTGAGTTCGTTAGGACATTTACATGGCGTTCTTGTCAATGAAAAGCGCTACAGTTCTCCATGCATTTATGCCAGGTTGATATTTCACCCATTCTAGGCCCACTCCTGTTCCCAACGTTTATAGGCTTTAAAATTAATAATAATAGCAACATTTTTTTTTTTAAACACAAGAGTTCCTCAACTGCTGAAGTTTGTTTTTTAGCTGTTCGTGTCGCCTCCTCAGTTGCTCTTTCTCAGCTAAGAGTCTGTGTTCATCTGACTGGATGGACAGGACGTATTCTGTGGCCTTTTTAAGGATGACGACTTTGGGAGCCTTTTCGTTATTGGCTACGTCGGGGATCTGGTCGCGCAGTGCAAAGAAGCTCAACTTCAGCTCGTTCCGCCTCTGTCGTTCCAGGACGTTGTGCGTTCGCCTCTTGTCGTTTTCTTCAGAGTCCGAGGTGCGCGGACTCGAACACTTGCGGTTGTTACTGATCTGCTTGAGGATTCTCCCACTGTCCAACTTTAGCCTTTTGGCCGAACTGTACTCGTGGCGGGTGGAAGGAGGAGCAGCGTAATTGTGCTGGTGAATTGGGACATGACACCGCTTGAGGACCAAGGGGCTGTGGGGGGGTTTACTGTGGCCCCCAGATGTGTGAAAACTGGACTCTGATTTCTTGGCTGCAGGTTGCCTTTTTTCTACAGTGACAACATCAATTTCTTCCTCTTCCTCCTGTTCCTCTTCCTCTTCTGAAAAACCAAAGAGAGGGATAAGGTTAAAATTTAGTTTTTCCCTAGAAAGTTACGTTAAAAGATGGACGTTTTGATCAGCCTTCCCTAATCTGGCTGCCTCAGCCAAATTGGAAAAGGAAATTATAGAGAAATGTGCAGAACGAAGCCACGTAGCTTCTGAAAGCGAACGTCTCTCAAAAGAGGGCAGATCTAGTTTATTATGCAATTAAGGAGACAACCCTGTGCATTTCCACAGAGGATGACTCCTCCACGGGACTGTTAACTGAATCCTGGCCATCTCACTGATGTTGAAATTGCAGGATTGTGTAACTCCGTAGAGCAGGAAAGAAGGCAAATGTCTAGGCCAGCTAACAAGAGATGACATCTGTCTCCACGGGTCACCCTTATCCACCATATGCCAGCTTTCCGCAACCTCTGATGGAGGCAACCTGTCACATTCTAAATGTCGCACAACTACAAATCCCACGATCCCTCACTTCCAGGCTAGTTAGGAATGATAGGAGCTGAAGTTCAACATCTGGAAGGCCATCATATGTAGTTGCCCCTGGATTCCCAGCTACTGCAGAAAGATGGCATATGAGGGTATGCGACGTGAGAAAAAAAAATCCTTGGAACCACACCCAGGTTATTTATAAAAGTTTTAATGGCCAGGAGCAATTCCTCCCCATGTATGCTACAAGGGAACTCCGCAGCCCTATTATCCCAGGGCAGCGTGGAAAAGAGGGTACCCCCCAAACATGCTTCCCCCCCAGAGTCATTCCTTTTTCTCTCCCCTCTGAATCTACTCTTTGTTTCTCACCATGTCAGCCAGAGGACAAGGATGATTAAAGCCCAGTCAGTGGGTTTAAAGTTCCCGCTCTGGAGTTCTGCGGTGACCCCATTATGCAATTTTAAAAGCTACTTGGCTTCGCTCTGCCCCAGGCCACTTTTTCTAGGAAATGCAATTCCTGGGAAACCCAGTCATGTGTGTCGCTAACGTGGCAGCGTAAGAGTACACACATATGCTGGGAGGGGAGGCGCTGCGCAATTGAAATATTTGAGGCAGGGGAGAGGGCCGACCCGTTCTCAAATGTTCAGGCCAGCCAACGTGTGATGTAAGGAAACACAGGACATTCCATTCGGATTTCGTTATCTCAAAGGCTACGTAAGACTTTCTACAGTGGCAAAGCTCAATGTTTGAGTTTTCTCTCCCTTTGAGAGAAGAAGATATCCAAGCACTCACAAAAAAGGGGGGGAGGAGGAGAGATGCAGCTCCTAACCTCAGATCAGACCCCTCCCTGGACTTTCCTTTTTAAGAGGGCCTTATTACTGAGAGCCACCAAGTGAAAACTGAACCAACTAAGTCCTGCTGAGTTTTCTGAAACTTTCAAGAGCAGCAGAATCACCCCCAGCCTCGCTGGGGTCCATCATTCATTCATCCCACCTGGAAGAGGGAGATGATGATGCAATGAAAGCTGGGCTGGTTTACTGATGAACAAGCCATTCAAGGCTGCTTCAGGCCACTGAAAGGCAAGTAGCCAGTTCACCTGAAAACAGAGCCAGCTGGAAGTGCTCAAGCCAGCTTGGCCCTTGGTTAAAGAAAAACAGCCTTATTCCGTACCTTTCTTTGCAAAGCGCAAGCTTGCTCAGAAGTGCCACTTTTCAGTGAGGCTTACTCACAGACTTTCCAGCTTGCACCTGAGAAAGCTGCATGTGTCACCACGAGAGAGTGCGCACACTGCTTTGTGCTTCAGTAGTACAGCACTAATGAATTACTCCAGCACGCAATATAGTAATACTAAATGTAGCATTTCAAGTTTGACAACTTTCTAGCCTCACCTACAAGTCCGCACTTTGCAAATGCCTCCGGCCCTGTTCTAAGCACCGCCAACTGCTCCCTCACCCCGGTATCCCAATCCTGCCTTCGACAGCGGGCCCCCCTCCCCACCCCCAAAGGGGGGAGCAGGGCCCTAAAAGAGAAGCCCGCTGCTCACCCGAATCACTGCTGGTGCTTGGTGGTGTGTCTTGGCCAAGCAAGGCAGGTGGGCAGGGGTCGGGAGAGGCAGCAGCTTCCACAGCCTTGGGGGTCTTTTCCCCCAGCGGGTAAGGGAAGACAACGGAGGGGTCGATGCATTCAGCTGCGGAGGCACCCAGATCTTGGAGGTAGGCGCTGCTGGGAGAGGAGGCAGACGTCTGCGAGGAAGACAACGGGAGGCTGCTGCTGCTGCAGTTCCCGCCCCGGAGTGACAGCGCTGCCCCTGCCCCGTCTCGGCGTGCTGCCTGGTAGGATGCCAGTTTTTCCGAGACCACCTTCTGGAGCTTGGCCGCTGCGGACCCTCCACTCCACATACAGTCCTGGATGATGATAGACTTGACAAAGGCGTCATCGTCTGGGTCGCAGATGAAGCTCTGGTTGACCACTTCGCTGCCCAGGAGCTCCGTCACCATCTCCAGCTGGTCAACGCTGGAGGGGAAGCTGCCAGACCGGCGGCTGGGTGAGAGAGGCGGGGTGGGCAGCAACTCAAATTTCTTCCAGATGTCTTCGGACGGGGCCGGTGGCTGCAGCTCGCAGCCCCGGTGCTGCGCGGACAGGTAGAAGTTCTCCTCCTCATCCTCGTAGTAGAAATATGGCTGGACTGAGTCGTAGTCGTAGTCGTACGCCCGGCTGGGATAGCTCGGGACAGTTAGGGGCATGGCGGTGGAGGGTGCCTGGGAAGGGGGGAGAAAAGGGGGAACGGGTTAACCGGGGCGAGTCCCAGGTCCTTCTCCTGCAACTCTACTCCCACCAGCACCACTCCCAAATCAGACTTCCCAGGGGGAGAAAACGAGCATGGCAACTGCCCCGGATTCACTACCTCGCTTGTGCAGCCGCTCCGGGGCGCCTGTTCAACCCAGTTCTCCAACTGGAGAATGTGGGAGCAACCAACACGTAATGAAGCCGGTATTCGGATTAACTAAAGCGGCCGAGACACAGGCGCTGCTCTAGCCCCCAACACGGGCGCGGCGCTTGCGAGAGGAGGGGCGGGACGGGCCGGGACGGGCCGGGACAGCTGAGCGCAAGAGCCGCTCCGGAGGCTACACCCGGGCACTTCCCCGACCAACTGGCGAGTGCGTCTGCCAGGTGGGGCAGGCAGGCAGGCGGCCGCCCCGTCGGGGCGCAAAAACCACCGGAAAGTGCGGGACAGCCGTGCAAGGCCGGCTCATTCTTTTACCGGAGGGCTTCGGTTACGCCACCCCCATCCCCGCAAGAGGCGGGTCCCAACAAGAAACAGCTCAACGCCCCCCGAGCAG